ATTGGGGTGGGGGGGTGGGGGATAGGAGCTGTGGTGTGAAGCTATTTCGTTTTGATGTCTGGACGCTCCTGGAAGGCAGGGCCAGCCAATGTCTTCCCGCAGCCCACGGTCGGCTTTCCAGGACCGACTGCAAGCCTGCCCACCCAGCTTCCCCACCGGGGCACAAAACCGAGATGTGTTTACATCTGCCTCCCACATCCGGCAGGTGCTTCGACCCGCGGGAGTAACCAGCTGATGAGAAGCCGGAACCGACTGGCGGCGGCAGGGCGTCTCATCGGCGGGCGGCGGGCGTCGCTTTGGGTCGGGATTACAGCTTACGGTTGGGAGGATGGAAGGGCTGGAGGCCTTCGATCTCACGACCGCCACCAGCGCCACCGTGGCACTTTAGGTTGGGGGCGGGGAGGAAAGCATTCCTGGAGGCCCGCCGATCGACCAGGCCCCGCCCCGGCCTGCCCCAAGCGGTGTAAGAAACCGCGCCGCAGTTAAACGTGCAGGGGGAGGGACCCGCGGCTGCAGCCGGGGAGGCGCCGTTGGGCCCGGCTCGCCTCCAGCCCGGGTCCCGGGACCGCCCCGCGGCGCCGGCTCGGCATGCGCAGTGCGGCCCCGGGAGCCAAGCGCCGGGACTCAGCCCTCGAACAGCACCCCGGACTCGACCGAGCGCTTTCGCTTAGGGGTTCCCGAATTTTAGGGCCAGACGGTACTCCTGGACAGAGAGGATCGAAAGCCGGGGGCAGCAAACACTCTGCCCTCGCAAGACGGACGAGAAGCGAACTTCACGCGAGGGCTCATAACTATCGCGAGAACCAAAACAGGAAATCCAGGAATTAGAACAGGAAAGCCCGCGGGTTTTAAACCGGAAAGGACTAGGCGGAGCCAATTGCGGCCGCTGTGTGAGTCGTGTCCCGTGCTCTAGGAAACTGAAGTGTAGACCTGGGCGAAGTGAGCTGTCAGAGAACTCCAGGGATCCCGAATTAAGCAGGACATACAAGGGGGGAGGGGGTTTGAGTCTCTGGCTCGGCCGGAGCAAACGCCGTGGGGGCAGAGGTCGTTACCCTGGTTACAGAGCGGAAGCAATCCCAGGTCGATTTACGGTTCGCTCCGGGTTTCTGAGGCCTGGAGCCGTTGACATCGGACCTAGAAACTCACTGCCCGCTCGTTATTGTAGCTGGTTACTTTCACCCCCCAGTGATCCAAGCCTCTGTGGGAATCGCGCTTAGCTCGCCTCTGTGTCTTGTGAACCTAGCCCGGTACCTGGCGGCACAATAAAATCTCGGTAAATAATTGTGGATCAAATGCGAAAGACTTTTCCCGAATGTTAAATTTAACCTGGATTTTCCGAGTGGCGGATGGAGACTGGATAGACAGAGGACGGGCGCCCTCTGGCGGGCTCGTGTTGGGACGAAAACATGACAGGCCCCAAAGATTTTGACTCTGCAGGGCATCTAGTAGGTAGAGATTTTGTTCCAGGAAAATACCACATATTGTAAAAATACCTAAAACAATTTTTTAGAGCCAGCAGGTAGCATGGACATTAAGGCGGCTGAATCCCACATCACTGATTTCTCGATTGGAGGCAGACCCTGCAGCTTGAAAACCACGCATGTTTCCAGTGCAACCTTGCCCAAAATCCCACAAGGAAATGAGGAAGGGATTGCGGCGTGACCATCCCCCGGGGGATGATTTCTCACTTTCCTTTCCTCTGGCTCCCTAAAAATACTTTTAGAAGAGTAGTTTGTGGGACTAGCAGGTGGCATAAAGATTACATCACTACTAGACTGCCATGTCCCAGAGGTTCAAGTCCCAGGCCCAGCAGCTTAAAATTCATGACGGGTATGTGTGCAGGCCCAAAATCCCAAGAGGAGACTTGAGGAGAAGGAATTGTGGTGTGGCCAATCCCCCTGGTGGGTGATTTCTTGCTTTGTCTTTATGGTGTGCACACACAGAAAAATCTCTTTAAAAAAATAAAAAGAGAGAGGCGAGCAGGTGGCATGGTGATTAAAGTGCTGGAAAATAAATATTTTTAAAAAAAAAAGAGAGAGAGAAGGGAGTAGTTTACAAAAGATACAATTTGGAAATCTAGGTACATTCACAGGTCTTCATTGTCCCATACTTTATCCATTAAGACTCCAAAGCACGTTCAGCAACACTATGTACATTATAATTGATAAAGACATAGGAAAAGATTTTTCATGTTCATACTTTGAAACCTTGACTTGGTTTGACAGAAGTGGCAGCGTCCCCTGTCTCTACGTAAGGGAGACTGTCTTCAGATGAAGATGAAGTTGCAATTTGTTGAAGAGTAGATGGTCCTGTCTTTTTCCCCTCCCCGTTGTGCAGATGCACACTGAAGAAGGAGTAAGGGTAGAATGTCACTTGCTTTCCATTGTGACTTACAGCCTCGAGTTTACACATGGTTATACTTTCGCTTTCCTTCAGCCACTGACCCATGCAGTAACTGAAATATAATGACAGAATGAACAACGGAAGATAAAACAGAGCAGGGGCCAGCACGTGGGATGGTGGTTAAGGCACTGAATTCCCACATGGCGACCGCAGTTCAAGTCCTGGACCTGGTGACTTGAAAATTGTGCCAAGTAGTTGTACATGGGTGTCCAAAATCCTGAGAGGAAAATGAAGGGATTGCGCCATGGCTGTTACCCCTGAGGTAAGGGGTGAGTACTCACTTTCCCTCTCTCTTTTTTCATTCTTTGTTTTTAATTTTATTTGTTGTGGTTTGTAAGGGGTGAGTACTCACTTTCCCTCTCTCTCTCTTTTTTCATTCTTTGTTTTGAATTTTATTTGTTGTGTTTTTTTTTTAAATTTGGTATAGGGCACATGTGCTCACCAGAGAGAAGGAAAGTGAAAAAGCAAGCCTCCAGGTCCAGGACTCGAACCATGGTCTACCATGTGGGAGTCCAGCACCTTAACCACCATGCCACCTACTGGTCCCTCCATCTCTTTCTCATCTCTCTAGCAGGTGGCATGGTGGTTTGGGTGCTGGACTCCCACATGGCCGACCACAGTTCCAGTCCCAGACCCGTTGATTTGGTGTCTTTCTCTTTCTCTACTCTTGTGGGTGAACATGCCCTATAGCAAATTAAAAATAATAACAAAATTTGGGACCAGCAGTTAGTGTAATGGCTATGTTGCTGAACTCTCATGTAGTCGACTGCAGTTCGAGTCCCGGACCTGGTGGCTTAAACTCACGCCGGGCGCGTGTGCATGTGTGCCCAAGATCCTGAGAGGAGAATGGAGGAGAAGGGATTGCGGCATGGCCATCCTGGGGGGTGATTTCTTGCTTTCTGTCTCCCTCCCTCTCTCTTTTTGGCAAGCGCACACGCCCTATAGCAAAAACCTCTCCAAAATAATAATAACAAAATTAAATCATTCTTTTTTTAATTTATTAATTTATTTTAATTTTACCAGAGATACAGAGAGAGAGAGGGAAAGTGAGAAAGCAAGCCACTAGGTCTGGTATTCGAACCACGGTCAACCATGTAGGAGTGTACAACGCCTTATCCACCACACCATCTGCTCGTGCGCAAATCATTCATTCTCAGAATTTAACTTTGTTT